CCACTGATGAAGTTTCGCACGTCACATTGAGAAGCCTAGTAGACCTGAAAATAAGAGAAAGTACAATCAACATCATGCAAAAAATCGTTCTGATAGAAACTAGCGGAATAGTACGCAAAGTAATGAACTTTTTAAAAAACAAACTATCTCTCTACAGACTAACTCAAAGTCCGACCAGCTTTTTGTCTATGTACGAGAGCACCGGAAAAAAATTGATATCCAGGAAAGTTCGGTGCAAAAAAAACATAATAATAACAATAATAATAATAATATAATGATGACGCGCTCATGGAGTTTCTAATCGAGAAGTGCAAGATCAGTGCAATGAAAAGGAGGGATTCAATATGGAATTAGATAGAACCATAGAAGCCATGAACAGGCGTGAAACATAACAATACCTAGGAATGGACCAGGCGAGGAGGATAAGCCACTGTAGAATGAAAGAGGTTTAACCAAATCGACTAATGGGCAGAACCAGGTTTATTTTGAAAACGCACCTCAAAAACGATCAACACCTATGCTATGGCAGCAGTCGCATACAGCTTCGAGCTAATTAAATTGACCAACACTGATAATCCAAGCATGAACCGTGATATGAGAGTACAATTCACAAAAAATAGAGCCAGGCACCCCAAAAGCTCCATATAAATATTTGATCTACCAAGAAAGAAAGGAGCAAGAGGTATACAAGACCTAAAAGATGTCCACCGAGAATGAATTGACGAATTGAGAAGGTTCTTTTATGAAAAAAGCACAACATCCACGTACCACCGCCACATCGGGAATGCAGATAAGAAACTCACGCCTCTTAATACGGCGGATAAAGACTATCAACCATTGCTTGAAATAACCACTGTTGAATATAAGATGCAGAGATGGAAAGCAAAAGAACTATATGGACGGTACCTCGCTACTATTGAACTAGGTCAAATAGATACCAGTGCCGCCAACGCCAAGAAAAAGTGGTTATTGTGGCAATAAATGTGGGAGCAACTGGTGAAATGCCTCTAAAATTACAATGGAGTCTTCAAATGCTGCAATTATCATCGAAATTGTACCTCAAGCTTCAGAAGGCGGCCATACTGGGAACATGCCACATTGCTCGGAGGATCTTGAATGTCAATTCCTGAAAACAAAACAGATTTAACATCATAAAACTATTTGGGCACTTGCTGAAATCCATGTCCAAAGTAATTACATGTGGAAATGGAAAAAATAAAAAATAATAATAATGATAATAACAATAATAAAAATAATAATAATAATAATAATAATAAGCAGGACATATACGAATATAATACAAATCAGGCGGATTTGTTTTGAAAATATTAAAAACCATTTCCATATTCGAATTACACGTCAAAAAATTATACTAACAATTTCCGGATCCAATACTTATATATACTAATGTATACATGATCCTTTTTTGATAATACGTGTTTCATTTCTTATTAATTTATTAAATGGTGTCGTAAAATGTATATCTATAGAATAAATTCAATATTTTAATAAATGTGTTTTTATTATATTTTTGTACCTATCAAAATTTAACATTCTGATTTTTAACGGAAAATAATTACAAAGTTTCAGGTAAAGACAGTTTTTGTCAGCTACTAAGTTACCTGATCTTGTCTGATGATGATGTATATCAGAATGTAGAGTTAACAAATATCTCCTATTAATCTCTAGCAAAATGTGGTAAATACAGAAGGAAGGGGTATTATCTTGAAAGAGCAAAAAACGGCTGGCAGTGTTCTTTGTGGCCGACTCCGACCGGCAACCTAATGGCTCTGTTTTGAAGGCGAATGGCTATGGAAATTAGCAAAGTATACCTACCTTTCTCAAGTAATCGCTTTTAAACAGCTCTTCAATTGTCGCATGACAAATAAAAGTCTAGACAACTTCGACCTCACAGTATCCATGTTGCGACCATTTGAACGAGTCATCAATCGTAATACCTAACAATTTGAGGTATAGTCTGCAGATATTGCGTTGTTGGTTGGTATTATAAAATTTCAAAGGTCATTAATGTAGATCACAAGGAGTGCTGCTCCCAAGATTGACCTATGAGGCACAGCATATTCTGTTGCGACACATGATGGATATAGTGAGACAGTTTTCCATTTGCGGTGGGTATCCTGTCTTAAAGAGAGAAAATTTAAAACAATCTGGGTATACACCGTCTGTGAAGCAGCGGTTTATACGTTCAGAATTATACTGCTTATGTTAAAATAATCAGTTTTGATAGCATTGGAAACCTCGTCAACTTTGATTGGAGATAAAATGAAACTGGATTATTTTGATGGTATTTAAGGCAGGTGGTTGATGAGTTCGCAATGTTTCCAGCGACTGAGCTAAAACACACATTAAATTCATTTCGTTTTAAGTTGTCGTTTATTATATTCGTTTTTGTTTGATTTCTTTCAGTATTAACCAATTTTCAGTAATCTTTGGATTTACCTTTCGAGGAAACCGCTTTTACACTAAAACATTTTTAAAGATCGCTTTTTTCTAATCTCTTCTGTAAAATACATAATTACACACCGATCTAGCTTGCGGAAAGCGTCACTTCGCCACGTGAGTTCCTTGTCCCGCGGATCCGAGCCACTTCGGACATTTCCGGGGATATTACCGCACGGGTTTAGGAGCAATCGGTTATTTTCGGAGATTTTACCGCACGGTTTGAATTTTGATGTGGGTCAATTCGGTCGTGTCAATGAATGTATTAGTGTTATTTTGCAAAAATGTACCCAAAAACTGAAAGTTGGTAACTCATTTATTAAATACTCGATCCGCTCGTGCCAAAAAAACTCGTGACTCAGAAGTTGACTTTTTCTGACCTATGAACAGAGTTAAATGTTCTAGTTTTGCACACACGGCAACTTTCGTTTCTTTAATACTAATACGCTTTGGCAAAAAACTGACTGACGTATTTTTTTTTTACTTTAAAAGGTGGTTCATTCAGTTGTCCAATCTTAGTGAACCTTCATTAATAATAATGGACAAATGCATCCTATCACTGTAGACTTGCTGAGGCAATACCTAAGCACAACACTTTGTTTCAGGTTTCTGGCAAAAAGTTGATGAACTATTGTAGGCTTATTAAGTGAAGGGAAAAGTTGTCCGACTCGGAGGAAGATATTTTTTCTCATGATGACTAGTTATTGCTCCCCTTCTTTGCTCTGTGCGTTATGGGTTTTCGTTATTTTTGTGGTGAAGGCACTTTACCTCCAGTTCCACCAAAAAAGTAACAAAAAGATGGAATATGAATATACTTCCGGCCTACAGCCTCAATCGAGTTTTATTTCTGCCTGTACATCTTCACCTTCATACACTTTATCTGAATCTTCAAGTCCATCAAAACAACCTCATTTACTTAAACCATGTGAGTTAAATGATCCTGTTAGAGCCTTGGGGCTATCAAAATCTAAAGCACCATTATTCTCATCAAGATAAACAGTGGGATTTGTTGGATAAAAGTACAAGACAAGAAGACACAAGACAAGAAGATTTCACGAGTTAATTTTGGAAAGGAGATGATTTAGTAGAAAATTCTGATGAATGGAAGTTTTTATCGATGCCTCAAAGATAAGTTTTAAAGCCGTTTTACTCCATAATGGTAATAAATACCCTGTTGCGCATGCAACCAAACATGAATGAAAATTATGCAAATCTGGAGGTATTCCTTGAAAAAATAAAACATGGCCACAAAGAAAAAGCGTGATTCCGGGAACCAAAAATATATCTCATTAACCTTAAGTGCCAAGTGACAAAATTTTTCTGCCAAAACTTCACATAAAGTTGAGAATTTTGTAGGTCCGCAAATACGCGAGCTTATGACGGCTGGAGCTTTAAATTCGAAGTTGAACAAAGCAGAAAACAGAACTTGGGTGGTTTTTGTAAATGTATGTCATAATTTTCTTGGGAATACTAAAGCTGACAACTACCGACAAATCATTCGAGAGCTTCTTTCTGCTTATAAAGTTTTATGATGCAATATGTCACTTAAAATTCATTTTTTTGATTCCTATGCAGATTTCTTTTCTGATAATCTAGGTGCCGTATCAGATGAGCATAGTGAGAGGTTTCATCAGGATATTATGCAAATTGAAAGGCGCTACAATTGAAAATGATCAGCTGGAAACGATGAAGAGAAAAAACTACAAAGTAACTTGTTGCTTGTTACTGTTATCTTTATAACTTATAAGAGTAAAATTAACATTTTCCACTGTAAAACTTTCACCGTAATATTTCTTTAATTTTTTATAATTGTTGTTACCTTAATTTTTCAATTAAATGGACATTTTTTGCAAAATCTGTGGGCTGTACTTATTTGCTTATTGAACTTCGTATTCAGAACACAAAATATGATAAGTCATACATAGAAGAAATAAGAGGAAAAAAAAATGCAGACTTTATAGTAGGTTCTACCATTTACTACATGGCGATGTGGAAAAAACCCCTACAAAATAGAATTTTTATTTAGTTTTTGGCGTTGCATATCCGAACGTACCTACTAAAAATGGTAGGAATATAGCCAAGACATACGGCCTTTGATTACGTCACTATATTTTATCGCCACTAGTGTGGCTTTTTTATTGCTGCCTTTTTTATTTTATTTGCTTTAGCAGCGTTATATGAATTGTCTTGGAAACTCGTCGGCGTCCGTTCCCATGCTACGCCCATGCGCATATGCGTTAGTAAACAGTAACAATGGGAATTAAATTATTACTTTTGCGCTGATATCATACAGTTCTTTTTTGCAGACAAGTAATCCCGAGAATTGTTACTCCGCAATTTTATTAAAATTAAAATTACGTGTAAAATTGTCCATTGTCCAGCGGAACCCGCCCAAGCTATTAGTTATGACTTTATGAATTATTTAAATTAAATTTGTTAAGAGTTCGTTTGTTCGTTGTTGACGGAAACACGCAATCTGACATAAATCGTACTTTATTCAAATCTATTTCCAATTTCGGTACTTAAAAACTAAAATGATCACAAATGGACTCCTTGAGTCTTGGCCTCCGCTTTGTATTTCTTCAAGTAGACTCCCTGAGGGTCGTATTTTTTCTCCAACTCGCTCCATACGGTCGGTTTGTTGTCGATCAAGTGGTTGACGATCTTCTTGCTGCCGTTCTTTTGTTTCTCGGAGCATTTGCTGCACGCGGTTTGAAGTGCATCAGGCAGGATTCCTAAAAACACGAATTGCCGATGAGGGTTACAAATCTTTTATTCAAATAGACAAAAGCGAAAACAAATTGAAATGCGCGTTGGACTTGATTTGTTGCGTCTTTGAGTTTGTTTACCATTCGTGTGGAAACATTTCAATTGCTCTCGGAATATAGCAAGGTCTTGGGTTTGAACTGGGTTAATATTAAGTAGATACGTCAATAGATGAGTCATCAGTGGTTATAACCTTAAATTCTGTGCCTTCGTTTAAGGTTATCGATTTTATCTGATTTATCTGGTTTGTATATTTGGAAAGCAAGATTCGCGTAAAATGATTATAGAGAATGTTAGTTAATTATTTTTATTTAATAGAAACCTAAGAAAAATTATATGGTTAATAATTGCTTGCAAATTTGTTTAAGTAATGATTAACGTCTTGTGTTTTGACTCTAGCGTAAGAGTTTCGGATGGAGGTTTTAATACATTAAATTACATATTTATATATATATTATACATTATATTTATTATACATTATATGTAGTAGGTACGATTTGCGATGGCATAACTGTCGCCAAAACCGTAGTGAAACACTGTTATTGTGTTGAATAAATGAGGTATTGTCATTATCATTCAGCCTAAATTAGAAAAATTCCAAATACTTCTTCAAATAAAGAAGAAATTGAAGAATTTCTGTACGAAAACGATTTATATTTTGAAGAGAGCTAGACGAAAAAACAACTTCTAGAATTATTAAAAATAAAACATTTTAATAAAGACTACAAAATCGATTCGATAGCACAACAAAAAGAAGATGAAATCTTGAGATTACCCCAGCGTTATTGTTTATTTAACCCAATTGAGATGATTGACACTTGAGCGCGTGTATAAGAAGAAATAACACGTGTCCAAAACTTGGTGATAGCTAAAATATCAGTGCAAAGCTGGTCTAATTGGTCTAGTGGCAGAGTTGATCATTAAACTAAGTGACGACAGTAGCGATAGTGACGTTTTTTTAAGTTACTGACACTTTATTATTATTATATTTAATATTCTGTATATTAATAATGATACTATGTAGAAATGTAACGAAATAGAACGTAAGAAATTGTTACCTTGTAATATTTTTTTTATGTACATGTTTCAAGAATTTCTCGGCGAAAAAGAGACTATGTCCCGCTTTTTAGTGTAGGTAAATAAATCCCTAGGCCGGTCCTGGAATGGTTACGGGTAAGGGTCTACTCGGCAGGGTGTTCTAGCTGCGGTTTTGGAGTAATAAACAGTAGGCAAAGTTAATCACGGGGTCCAATGTAAAAGCACTATATTTCTGGTCCAAGTATACCTGCCAGTGTTCTACCTTTGTTTATTACGTCCAGGTGTTGAACACTCGACCCAGATAGTACCAATTACCGAATAATGATATTTTCCAGTACAAAACAATGTCGCATTTTTGAAAAACTGCTACCGTTATAGACATAGCGAAAGTGTATCAAATACGTCGACAAGAAAAGAATAAATTATCAACTGGTTGCGCAGTAAGCGGATTAATTACCCGGAAAATAGTCTAACATGTGGGTTGTTAAAAATGAACATCAATTAAAAACCACCCTACGTCGATTTTTGTGAGTCGAAATTGCTGACGTTTCGCCTATCATCCTGTTGGCTTCTTCAGAGCTTGATAGTTTCAGGCGAAATGTCAGCAATTTCGACTCAGCATAAAGTGACGTAGGAGGAATCTAGAAGTTTTGTAAAAAGTATTAGAGTAGCCTGTGGTAGTTTCATTGAAGAATTAATTAGAAACCAAGCTTGCCTTATGCTACAGACGAAACAATTGCTGAAATGGTCTTTAAGTTTTGGAATTGGTGTGGCCTCAGTGCAAAATATTGTTTAATAAAAATATTGCAAGTGAAGCAAGGCACACCGATGCTGCAGTAGTATCTGTTTGGAGGGCAGCTGCCTTAATTTTCCGATTTTTTGGTATTGTTTTAATTTTTATTGCATGGACAGAGTTTATTTAAAAAAAATTTTTTTTCATGTAGATTTAGCTACTTAAATATTCGCATATCATTCATCATATCATCAAAATACACGAACCCATCTCTGAGTATGGACATTGCTTTTCATTTTGCCGCTGCTAATAATATAGCAAATAGTAAAGATACCAAAATGGCAGGTATAGATTGGTTTTATAATTTTAGGGCTAGATAAATAAATAAAATCACAGCATTTAATCGATAAGAAAGAGATATATTTTTGGAAAATTTAAAAACATTCATGATAAAATACCAATTTAAGTTGAAGTCATTCTACAATGTTGATGAAAGGATTTAAACAAGTAGGTAAATGACCACAGTTATATAATGCGGGAGGCACATACATTCCTCCATTTCCCATATTCAAGAGAAAGCAAACAAATGCACTGTGTTTCAAACTCAGGCCGGATAACTGAATCAATTTTCGTTAATTGACTTCATCATTTCAACGATTTGCACAGCGATTATAACGCAGAATGTGAATTCTTCATGGTCAACCATCTGGGCACCAAAATTACGGCACACCACAAGTAATGAAAAAGCTGATGAATGGCTTTAAGTCTGCTGGAATTTGTCCAAGACAAATTTAAAAACACTTTGGATCAGTTTTTCCTCTTGAACAACGGATGCAAACAGATACCAATTATTCAAGCCAAGGAAAGCCCCAGGATGATGCTAACTTTGACTATTAAAGTGAAACAATACCTACTTCTGCATTATCTTACTTGCTAGGAGCAAATGAACAGATAAGTAGCTAGTACCACTAACATTATTAAATTGTCATAATTAGTTTTTTGTCAGTAATGGAAGTAATTACGGCACAATGAAACTCAGAAATTTGAAATTTTAGTTTTTATTGAATATGGAGCCAAAACGGGAACTCAAGAGCAGGTTTGTAATTTGCTTAACGCAAAATATCCACAAACACCCGCTACAAGTTCCACAGTGAATAAAACTGATAGAACATTTCTAGGAACAAGTAATGAGAATACAAGATTATACATTTTATTAGGATTTGAGGATAATCCCCATCCACTTTTGAATTAGCCTTGTATATTTTCTTAATTGATGATGATGTGTGGGAGCATTTTTCTTGAAATTGAATGCTTGATTCTTAAATGAATTTGTTCTAAATTATATTCATCATATTTTCTAGAACATATGATAGAAATTCAATTTATACCATATACTTTTTACATGTTTTGCTACTAAAAAAAAATAAAATTAAAACGCACATATTTTTTTGGATTTAAATACAAATTGTCCATAATAATTACCGTTTTAAGTTTTGTTTTCCTTTAATTTCAATGAATGAAACAGAGAAATATTGAAAAAGAAATGCAAAATATTGTTATAATTATTAATCTGCTATTGAAGAAGCTGTCGCATAGTCAAGTTGAAGCTCAAAGTTTCTATACAGGGTGTCCAAATAGTGTGTCAAAGTAATATATCTCGTTTTATTGTATTTTTTATTTTTTGGAGGAAAATGATAAATACAAAAGTTATAGATGAGACTAAAAAAACAATTTAAAATAATTTTCAAATGTGTAGCTGAAATTTTCCATTTAGTGGAACATGTGCAACATTAATTTAAAAAGATAAAAAAAAAACTAAAAACGCACATAAATTTTTGCTTTTAATAAAAATTGTCCATAATAATTACCGTTTTAAGGGCTGCTTTGCATTAATTTCGATAAATGAAAGAGACATTTATTGAAAAGAAATGCAAAAGAATTATTATAAGACTAAAAGGAAATTTAAAATTATTTTAAAATATGTAGCTAAAATGTTCCATTTCCTAGACTGAAAATATAATTTTTACGTTACACTTTACAAGGATAAAAAAAACGAACATAATTTTTTTTTTACTAAAAATTATACATAATAATTGTCGTATTAAACGTTGCCTTGCTTTAATTTGGATAAATAAAAATGACAAATATTGAAAAAGAAATGCAAAATAATTATTAAAAGACTAAAAGAAACAAAAATTATTCCAAAATATGTAGCTGAAATTTTCCATTTCCTAGGCGGAAAATATAATTTTTACGATACACGTTACAAAGATAAAAAAAACTAAAAACGCAAATAAATTTTTTGGTTTTAATAAAAATTATCCATAATGATTAGCGTTTTAAGTGTTGCTTTGCTTTAATTTCGATAAATGAAAGAGACAATATTGAAAAAAAAGTGCGAAAAAATTATAATAATTAAACACCTGTTTTTCAAAATGCTGGCTTATACAACTTGAAGCTCAAAGATTCTGTACAGGTGTCCAAATAGTGCGTCAAAATAATATATCTCGTTTATTATTTGCTTTAGAGGAAAATGACGAATAGAAAAGTTATAGATGCGACTAAAAGAAATGATTTAAAATTATTTGGGAGATTCATTAATATATGTTAGATCAAACGCCCATTATATAATGACATTAATAAATACTCCCTTTTACACTCACCCAATGGATTGTTATGGTCTATGGAGTGTTTTCGAATGTGTGGCCATTTTTTCGTCAAAAATGAGCAATGTTTAATACTCTTTGTTTTTGACGACTTTTCCGACAGCTTTAATTTTATTATTATTATTAAGTGGCACGATCATTTATCGAACACCCTGTATATTCTACTTCGCTTCCATGAATTACTCCTATTAATGCTCTTTCAAATTTGATCAAGCACACCCTATACACTCTGTATATGAGTAACAACTTAATAAAGTATTCTTTTCACATAATTTCAGACTAAACTCTGACTCAACGTCGATTATTAATTAGCAAAATATTGCAATTTTTTTGGGAAATCGTCGCCGTCAATTACACGAAAAAACAGTCGGTAATAGTCAGTATTTAACGCAATTGACAGGACATGTTAATCAATTTATCGGGAATTGTTATTAATATTTTCACACCGTCGCCGTCGAAATGTTTTATGGATAAGCGATCGTAACTTTTAACAAATGTTGTTTTTTTAATTTTTAAATTCGTTTCGCAGTCG